GCCATGTGCTTGATGCTGAGCTGAACGTGAGCTTAAGGTGATCCAAACGGCACACCCAATGTTTTTACCGCAACACGTACTGATGCTGGCAGGTGCCTTCCTTTTTTGCTTTTTTGGGGGTTCACAGAATTCTTGCAAAACCATGAGCCGAGCCGAGCTAAAGCATGAATCGCATCATTTGAGGAACGTTCAGCTGAAGCCCACCTGGACGATGTGGTTGGTTTTCAAGCTCTCCCGGCTGCATCACCACAGGCCACTGGGTGGACGAAATTATCCCGGCAAGAGACCCCAAACTGTGTGTGTGTGAGGTCTGTGAGCAGAAAGTCTAGAGACCTAGACGCATTGGGGTCCAGAGAGGTGATGGCAGTGATGAAGTGAATGTGGGCATGAGTGAGTGTGGGTGAGAGGGAGTGTGAGTGTGAGTGAGAGTGGGAGAGTGAGTGTGAGTGCGAGTGTGAGTGAGAGTGAGTGTGGGTGAGAGTGAGAGTGACTGTGAGTGTGAGTGAGCGTGAGTGAGAGTGAAGGTGGGTGTTAGTGAGTGTGGGTGAGAGTGAGAGTGTGTGTGCGAGTGAGAGTGGGAGAGTGAGTGTGAGTGAGTGCGAGTGTGAGTGAGAGTGAGTGTGGGTGAGAGTGAGTGAGAGTGAGAGTGACTGTGAGTGTGAGAGTGAGTGAGTGTGAGAGTGAGAATGAGAGTGCATGAGAGTGAGAGTGAGTGAATGAGAGTGAGTGTGAGTGTGAGTGAGAGTGAAGGTGGGCACGGGTGAGTGTGGGTGAGACTGAGTGAGCGAGTGTGAGTGAGAGTGAGTGTGAGAGTGAGTGTGGGTGAGTGAGTGTGCGTGTGAGTGCGACTGCGAGTGTGAGTGAGAGCGAGTGAGGGTCTGCGAGTGGGAGAGTGAGTGGGTGTGAGTGTGAGGAGTGTGGCTGTGAGTGGGAGTGGGAGAGTGAGTGTGAGTGCGAGGAGGGTGAGAGATTGAGCATCTGAGAGCACAAAGCACTGCACCTGCCACGAAATCTGCACATCGAGGTTCACTAAGCGCTGTACCTGCCACGAAATCTGCACTTCGAGGTTCACCATGCGCTGTGCCTACCACGAATCTGCTCTTCTGTATAGGCTCAGACCAAAGTGCTTGTTTTTTGTTCTGCACACTGCACATGCTCCTCTGCACATGTTCCTCTATAATGTACAGCTGCCCAAATCATTTCTTGCCAATCTTTTTCTTTTTGTTGGAAGTGTCTTCCTGAGGCTCCAGGAACAAAGGGCAACCAAGATCCACTTGCCTCTTGTTCACATACACAGGAATGTGCAAATTGTCGTGCTTGACCAGCTGCTTCTGCATGACACACTCAACATCCTCAGGGTTGCCCTCCTTGAGAAACCAATATGGAACAAACATGCCAGTTCCCTTGGTGAAGTCAACTTTGGTCGGTGCCACCACCAATGCCACATGGCTGAGTTCAGAGCATTTGATCACACACTGGTTCTTGGTGACCTTCTCAAAGGGCACCAGTTGGAGATTCCCCAAAGGTACCAGCACCAATTTGTTCTTGTTGTATTTGCCTCCACTGAAGACTTGGTTCAAATTGCTCACAAGCACGTCCATAGGACCTTGCCTTGGATTGGCACACAATACACAAAACCATCAAAACAACTTTCACAACAAACCTAGGCCCAGGCAAGGTACTGTGTGAACTTGTCATACAATGCACACTGGGCCTTTGACCTGGCAACCTCTTCAATGAAAGTGCTGGAGGCAGCTGGCAAGAGTGCTTTCCTCACAGACTCTTCAATGAGGCAAGGGCCTGGCTTCACCCATAGCTTCGCCTTTTTCAACTCACTGTGGGGTATCTCCTTCTCTTCTTTGCTGCCAAAATATGGAGCATGGGAGAACTTTGCACTGGTTGGGCCGACCTCCTCCAGCTTCCAAACCTTACCATCACCATCCTCCCTGAGAATGTAGTGCTTCCCAAGCTGGATGTGACTGTTGCCAGCCAACACAATCTGGACTGGGTCATTCACCTGGTCCAAAGACTTGACCATTGTTGCAGCACTCTTTGCTTTTGCTGTAGCAGAAGGCCCTGGGCCACTTCCACAGCACTCAGCAAAATCAGCTTGGAATTGCTCATTGATGGCCAATAAAGTCTTGTACTCTTTGCCTTCCCTGCCCTTCAGCTCCTTGGCCAAAAGCAGAAGCACCAGGCGGATTTGGAACTTGCCAAAAGGGAGGGCTGTTTTCTCCAGTGGCAGCCCAGATGCCTCAAGTGTCTGCCAAGCTGCAACCATGAGCTGCTCTGCTTTCATGATGTCATCAAAAGCCTTCTTCTGCTTGAGCTTGTCAAAGTCAGATTTGCAAATCATTTTGCTGATTCCATCTCTAATGAAGCTCCTGGGTGCGGTCACTTGGGTGGCACACAAAGCCACCCTCAAGAAAGGCAAGGTGGTGGTGCCAGCTTTGAAATCTACAGAAGCCACCAAAGTGCTGAACTCCTCTCCAATCATGACACTGGCACCAAAAGAGCGTCCTCAGCTGCAAAATCCATATCAAAATAATTTATATAGGCTGTAATGCCTGTGGGTAGCCTGGAAAGGCTGCAGCTTGAGCAGTTGCAAGAGAAATTGAAAAAGGCCTGCACAAGCTAGTTTTAGCCATGTATGCAAACAGGTTTCCAATGACATCCAAGTACTTGAGCAGCTGAAACTGCTCTCCTCCTGCAAAGGTGCCCACAAACTCTCCTATGTGCTTCATGTAGCCTTTGCAGGGTGGGTTGCTCGAAGATGCTTGGGCAGTAGCTTTCCCCAAATCCTTTGTGGCCTGCATCTCATAGGTCTTGGCAATGGTCAGCATAACTTCTAGCTCTGTAGGTGGCTTCAAAACACAATGGTCACCTCAATGTGGCTTGGTTTGGACTCCAAGTGGCAACCAATGTGCCACCAACAGGCTGCCAAGAACAAAGAGCAAACAAAAAGTACAAGTCTCACCAAGTGGCTATTGAATGCCTGCTGTAGCAAGCTTGGCAAAGCTGGAACATGCAGTTCTACTTGCTCGGAGATAATGGTCCACATCCATCCCTCACTCAAAAGCTCTGCCAAATCATCCTGCTTTGCCATGAGCTGCTCCACACTGGTATTTTCATTGTCCATAGTGCATCCACATGCCAAAGCCTTGAGGAAGCTGGTCGTATGGGATGCACTGATAGTGCAGCACCTCTCTTTTCCTGAAGGCTTGGCAAGCATCCCATTGGATTGCTCATGCAGCCTCATGCAAATTAGTGTTTGCCAAAATCATGGCATGCCTTGCAGCTGCATCATGGGGCAATTCAACTGCCACTGGTTCTCTGATTTTGTTCTTGTCCCACCCAACTTCACTAATAGCAATGCCTTTGCTCCAAACATCCCAGCTGTTGACCATCTGGCCTGCCCGATTGCTTGTGTGTACAAGCAGGTCTTGGGGTCGAAGCTTCTCTGTGTGTGTAAGGCCATGCTCTTTCATACACATCATTGCCTTTGAACTCCTCTGGTTGATTGCCATACTATTGTCATCCACCAACCTTTGTAACTCCAATGCCCAGGCTGGCTTAGCCATGGCTCTTCAAGTGAAGCTGGATGGAGCTTTTGTTTGTCTTGCTTCTAGTGAGCTGACTTTGCAATTCATCTCCAAAAAATTCATGTGGGCCCAATGCCCAACACCATGAACCATGTGGTGTGCACAACACCTGGTGTTTGAGTGTGCTTGTTTTTTCCACACATTGTGACTTGAACCACCAAGCCACACACGCCAAACTTATAAGTGCCTGCATGGGCAAAACCTTGCATCAGCTGGTAACCAAAAGCATTCATTGAGCATACACCTGCTGAATATGCCTTCATGGGCAGAAGCTTTCATCAGCTGGCAAACCAAAATATTCATATAGTGAGCATACATTTGCTTAAGATGAAATCAGCTTCCAATGTTGAAACAGCTTGTGCAAGCTATATCTTGCCTGGTACAAAACCACAATTTTCTTTTAGTGAAAACTTGAAAACCTCTAGCTATCAAACATAAAACAATGTTGCTAAAATTGTTTTTATATTTGTATCTTACATTACTTTTTACTAACTTCTTTAAATTTTTATGACAATTAGACATGTTAATGTAAAAGTTAAAAAACATTAGATAATTCACTTAACCAACAATAAATTTTGTAGCAATTATAACATGTTATAACAAGTTATAACACCTTGTTAGTGAGTTATAATAGCCTTATAGTGTATGTAGTAATAGTTTTAACAGCCATAACTCAGTAGTAAAACCAGCAGCTTCAAAGCACCTCCGATCCCTTGCACAACGAGAGCGCAGTCGCTAGAAGCACCCGCCGCCGGCCCGCAGATTCTGCGAGCCTGTGCAGTCGAAGTGCACATGGACGATGTCGAGAGGCATGAATGTACTGTAAATAGCAGCGAATCAGCCGCACACGCCCGCGCGCTTCAGCGATCTAAGCATCAGCTTCCTTTCCCTAGTGTAAGAACCCCTCAGTGTGCCCACACTGTTTGGGGGACAAAAGAACGCGCCGTCCCAAGACTGAGGGTGGTCACCCCCCGCAAGAATTGAAAGACATTGTCTCAAAAAAGAAGAAAGCAAACACAAAGATGTGCAACAATGTGCAACATATTTGCAAACCTGTTGCATAAGGGTGACAATATCCACTATATTGCTGGTGGCTACCACCATCAGCTATAAAATCGGTGGCAGGACCCCCAACCCGGTTTTGTCGCAGGGATCCTGTTGCTGTTGATGCCAGAATTCTTAGAGTTAGCTAGGGCCCAGTGTTTGGTGCCTTGCTGCTGCCGCATTCCTGACAAAGGGCGAGGAAAAAACCGCATCAAGATAATTCAAATATATTATAGATAGAATATCTCCAAAAAAACATCGAATCGGTCAGGGAGACGCCAAGGTCAGGGCTCACCGCGCGCGGTCTCAGCTTGTCCGGTCTCACCGCGCGCTTCGTCGGTGCGCTTCACCCAGGCACCCTTCACGGCTCAGCTTGATGGTTCCGGACGTCTCCGATTCTTGGCCGCCGGTGGGCCGACCCCTCGGATAAGGGGGGGGTTGTTTCCAACATCCCGTGGTGCAAAGCTGGGTGAACTCAACTCATAAGTCGGACTTATATAGGTGCAAAGCCAGGTGAATTCACCTAAGATGTTTCTTCAAATGTTCATCATTCTCGAAAGAATCTGGGCCCGAACCAATGGGAAGGGTTTGGTTCAGGTCTGGACCCCTGCCATGGAGGGCCCAAGGATTCATAGGGTTTTTGATGCATTGCATTCACCGAGATTTGGTTCGGTCCGGTTCGGTTGCAAATGTATTCACAATTATTTCACCCACAGCTTCCTGCAAGCATACCCAAATCTATAGAGGTATGAGGTAAGTGATTTCAACATGTTGGGTCTGAACAGTTCTCTAGGCAACATTCATATAAATATAATGCACAGTTGTCCGTATGCAGATGTGAACAGTTATTGAGAACCAAACACGTTGAAAAAGAACGCTCAATCCAGCCCGAACCAAAGCAACCAAGATGCAACAAAAAACAAGTGATCATGTGACCGATCACTGTCTTGGTCGGAGCACTTGGTGGGACTCCGGGTGCTACCGGATGGGAGCTCCACATGAACCGCAACCGCCGTACCCAGTGAGTGAAACCAGTGAGTGGCGCGGAGCGCGTTCTGGTGCGTCAGCTGCAGGGCGCCAGTCCCTTGATGTGTAGCATTTTGAGCGGGCACTTCGAAGCAGCTCAGACCTTGGTCACTTGCGGTGCCAGTGCCTTTGCTGCAACATGGGCCAAAAACCTGTTCCATCCCAACTAGGGCGCCCTTGCGCCCGGCCTCCAACATGGAGGAAGGAATGTGTGCTTTGTTTTGGATGACGAGCCGACCCGTCCGACGTCAGATCTCCGAGGCGTCCAGCTTCGGAATGCGCGGGGAAAGAACGCCCAGCAACTGGCCGAAGAGGTTTTCGCGCCCCCGTGCTTGCTTCTTGGCACTGGGGGATTGGATGAGATTGGGGATGAGATGGGATGAGGGTTTTGGGGGTGGAGTTGGGGGCCAGCGTGCTGCTTGAAGGGATTGGATTTGAAAAGCCACGAATTCAGGATACAGTATAGTTTGTTTCACTCACGACCTACCCACCCAGATGCCTCTTTTTAGTGGTCCGGTGCAGTTTGTACTACCCTTGATCATCCTTGGAATGCCATGATCATGTTCCCTTGATTTGGTTGCATGTAGCTGGCGCAAGTAAAGTGCAAGTAATTAAATCTGAATTATTATTCGGTTTGCATGGCATGCCGCTTTGGATCTTGTTACACTTTCGGAGGGGTGGACACCAGTGCGGCTGCTTACGCTTAGGGAGGGGTGGACACCTGCCTGGCGCCGGGCGACGCCGAACTGCCTCGGACTCGATCCCGATATCCAAAGGATCTGAAAGAGTATTTGAAGGTTATGCGATCCAAACTTCCCTAGAATCAAGATGAATCAGGAACCATGGTCAAGAAGCGATCTTTTTCTTCATACCTGGAATAGCCACATGCACATAATATAATATATATTAATTAATATACATTAAGATGCGAAATTATATGACTATAGTATATTTACATTCTGTGCATTATATCTATATGAATATATGAATATGTTTAACACCATTTAGGAGCATCCCAACCAATAGCCATGGCTTTGGGATACATCATTCTTCAACCGGTGCGACGCGTTGCCCCCGCCCTCAGGTTGGAAGCGATTGGTTTGGCTCAGGAGAGCAACAGCAACTCTTTGGCCTTGGGTAGGCCGGGGCGTGAAGGGACCAGGTGGTGCGCGGGGTCCACTGAGTAGGCCAGGTGACCATAAACGAGGTCCATTGGCACCATTGGGGCGAGACACAGTCCCAACCGGAAAGAAATGGTTGGAAATATGTTGGAATCCAATATGATGGCAGTACACATGTGGTGATGGAGATCCTTTATATACATCACAAGTGGTTGTTTGGGAAAATGATCCTTTTGTTTCTGGCTGCTTGGGTTTCCAGGTGCTCCTTGAGATACTCCATGGCAAGTGGAGTTCACCACCTGCTTGGTTTTCGGAAAGGGTGATCCTTGCTGGTCCATGCCATCCACTTTTGAGGGAACTAGTAACTAGCATGAACTAAGCTTTGGATTCGACACTGAGAGGAGCAGGCAGCTGTTGAATTACTCGACTCAGCGTAGAAACGCTTGCCTGCGAGGTGCTGACACTGGGTAAACTGACCAAGCTACACCAAGCTTTAGATGAGAAAACCGACCTGCTTCTTCAGATCTGTTTGCAACTGACCGAAGTTCTGCTTTCGGATGACCTTAAGTTTTTGTACATGATGACCTTCGGTTAACCTGTGACTTAGATAAGGGGTCGGACCCTTATATGGAGGGGGTTGGGGTTTCAAATCCCTAGGTTTTGAGGGCTGTTTTCAGCTGTTTGGAGCGTTTGGCACGTCCTGTCAGTTGCATGCTTAGTGACAAGTTGGTGCCTGGGCACTTCCAATCAGTTGCGAATCCAACATTGCTGCCTTTTGAAGTCAATTTTGCGGAGGCCCAGCCCTTAAGAGATTATGTTCACTTTTAAAGCCCAGCTCCACATGATGCACATGACATGATTCGTGATCAACAGGTGGATTACCAACTGCCTGTTTCGTTCAGGCACATGTTTGCTTGCGTTTTCTTGCACATCAACAGGAGCCGATTGGAACCTGTTTTTTTTCCGCTGCATCCAGCTTGCAGCTATGGGTGGTGCGGAACAAATCCCCATGTGTTTTACCCATGAGGGGGTTCCCCCTGACTACAATGGCCGAACTGGACGCACCCCAGCGTAACGGCTGCAACGGCAGACCAACGGCTGCACACCGGCAGTCAAAAAACGGTTCCAACTCTATCAAAACGGCGATTGGGAGAATTGATTGCAGACCATCTCCATCTCACCATGCCTGCAGCCCCGCTTGGCGCGGACGACGCAGCCAGTGCAGGTACCTCTTTGAGGCCAGCCAGCCATCCTTCTCGCAGCAACTCTGAGCACACGTGGGACAGTTGACTCCAACAAGAGCTGAATGAGTTGGATTCTTCCTAGAGCGAGCTGTTGATGTTGAGATATATATATATAACTATATATAGAGTTTATTAGGATGTTGGTATAAAGATTTCCGGCAAATGTTTTTATGTTTCGACCATTCGTGAGGGTATGGAGTTGTGTTGTTGCACTGCACGCATGTCATATAGATTAAGGAATCAAGAGCTCACTTTCAAGTCCTGAATTTGCCAAAATGATCTCCTTCACTTGCTTCATTTGCTTTTGTTTCCAGTATTAGTTTGGGAAACTGAGTTGAACTCACCCATCCTGGTTGCTTCTCAGAAGGAGCTTTTGGAGGAGCGTGGACGGTGACAGACTGTGCTCCGGATCGGCAGTGCTCCGTGTGCTGTGGGGGTGCGTTTTGGAAGAACAACCACCCCCCTTTTTGGGACGCGGCTTCCTTAGAAAGGCAGGTGATGATGGTGATGGGTGTGACATGACGGACACGTGACATGTGAAAACTGCACTTCTCAGGTTTGAAAACCACCAGGATTGAGGAATGTGTGGATGGATTTGGGGGATGTGTTGGTCAAGATCGGCCCAGGTTTGGATCCACACCCAATCACACTGCTTGGTTTTGATTCAAGATGAATCATGCCAACGAGTTCGGAACCTAGGGAGTCGAGCAGCTCAAGTAGGAGTTCGGGCTCGATAGTCCTGTGGTGTTCGGAAAGTTCGGGCTTGATAGTCCAGCGATTTCGACCAACTGACTCAAGAGTTTGGTGTGTTTGCTTCAATGCGCACCAGTCTCGGACGGCAGTTGCTTGGAATTGCATCCTGTTGATGCAACCAAGACACAGATCCCAGCAAAGAACAAGGAACTACTGCCAGAATGAATAGAGCTGTTCCCTAAAATTTTCAGGGTCATGAGTTGAGGAGGAAGAAGTTGGATCAACGAAGTTTTGAACTGAAATTCCTTCCATAGCCTCGTCGATGGACGGTGTTGACCCTCGTGAAAAGCGGTGAAACGGGGTTTCATCGCCACCTGGTGGCGTTGCACGGCCTCCCCTGCAGGGGGGCGGAGCTGACAGCTGAACCTGAAGTGGTTACATAATGTGACATTGTGGTTGTGTGAGCGGGATGACCCGACCAGGACCCCCCAAACTCAGTGACTTAGGAGAGACATGTTGCATGCATATGTGTCCTTCTTCTAGCTGGAATGTCATCCCATTTCATGATGCATTCGGCCCATGTGGATAGATGGCCGTCATAAACCCAACACTTCTCCAGCAAATGACCGTTTGTATGCGTTTGTTGGTTTGGAGGGTGCAATCCTCACTAATATATATAGTCCCCGAGGATGCACCTCCCGTTCTTGGTGAAATGTCTCATTTCAAAGGCCCAGGGTACGGGAAGAGATACGTAAGGGCTCTTTTTTCATTTCTTTACGGCGATCTGATCTCCTGTGGAGACTCCGCCAAGCAAGGCCTTTCTACTTTTAATTTGTGCATTCAGTGGGTTTGTCATATGGCAGTGGACCCTTTTGTAGTTTGTTCATATTTGGTGGTCATGCAGGACCCCTGAGCTTTGACTTATGTCCACACGAACTGCCACACGATCATGTCTATCACCATGCGGGGACCGGGTGTGTTGTGGATGGCCTCTCCTACAGATCGGTAAACGATGATCACTGAGAAGGGCCTGCGGCGACCCAGTCGGAACTGGCTTTGGTGCATTCCAGTCGCATATTGCATGACTGTTCAATTCACTCAGGAATGTGGGGTAATGTTGACTCTTGATTAGTGATACCCCCCCTAACACTTGAGACTCCTGATTAATTACCCTAAACTTAAGACCCTAGTGTCAGTCGTGCCTGGCTTCCTTGCAAGACCGTGTCTCCGCAGCTTGGCCCGAAGCCCGCCCCCGGTGCGCCCCGGAGGCCGTCGTGACCGTGACGGCTGTGTAGACGGTTGATCCATATAAACCAGCACCATGCAACGTAAACATGTTTGGTATTTTATATTATATAAGTTATTGCTCTGTCAGCCGATCTTCGCCTCCGAATTGTTGACCGCCAGGCCATGGCGGCACCCTCCGCCGCGGCCGCCGCGGGCGCGGCGGCCGCCGCGCTGCTGCAGCGGCAGCTGCTGTTGGGGCACCCAGCTGAAAGAGAATATATAATAGGTCCTGAATGGTCCTGATAGAGCCAGAAAACCACTGCGGGGTGAGTAAGGCAAAGACAGGTTTGTTAAACACTTGCCTGAATTTTGTGCGTGTTGGTTGGCTTTGCCTGCATTTTCCGATGCGCGGGCTTTGGTAAAGCGGGCGCCCCACCCCAAAACGATCATTTAAAACATATATTTTAACAAGAGAGACGAAGCTTGAACCTACCACCGAGCGGAGGAAAATCTGTTGTAGTGCTGGTTTCTGGTGTTTTTGGCTTTTGCTTTACCAGAGCAGTATGTGAAGCTTATTTATACTAATAGATATATATGGTTTAACGCCCCCGTAACTAAAGGGGAAGGGTCTATCAGGTCCAAACCTCGCAGCTCCGGCTCGAAGGGAGACGGATGTGGGGGCACGCCGCACCCTGCCGGTGCGGCGTGTGTTTGACCCTACATCGTATTTGCCATCACATTGGCGATTTTACACGTGAGCCTGGGTATTTGGATTTTGCCGCTGAGCGATTGAGGGTGCTGGCCGGTGAGCTTTGCGACTTCATCGACTCCAGGCGGCGAGACACCAACCTTCGAGCGGCATCTCGAGGGTCGGATCTCCTCACCTCAGGTGGTGCAAGGGAGAGCGGAGGTGATCCTGGTCAACAAGCTCCAGAACCCGGACACCAAGGACGAGAGGTAGCAGCCAAGGAAGAGCAGGTGGAGTCAGTGAAGAGTGGAGCCCGAGAAGTCAAGATTGAGGACAGCGAGGGTGCCCCGACTGAGGGTAGAGGAGCTAGCCAAGCCAAAAGTGAAGCGACCAGCCACCCCAGTACAGCGCCAAAGAAGAAAGCCAAAGGTGAGGAGAGAGAGCCACTGCCCCGCAGAGATTCGAGGAAGAGGACCAAAGAGGAGCCAGCCAAGAGTGAACGGGAGGACGAAGAGCCAGGTACTCCTCACTCTGAGCAAAAGAAGAAGAGAAGGAGGCCGGAGGCGCCGCCGAAGCCACAGTGAAGAGAAGGGTGAGAGAAGCCATCATCACTCCAATCCAGGAGGTCGGTCATCCGCATCGAAGCCGGAACCTCGACCTTCGCAGAGGCCAGAGTCAGATCCCCCGGCCAAACTGAGGCCCAGGTCTCCTTCGCATCCTCCACCAGGTCGTGGCCGAGGACAAGGGTGGAGTGCGGCCCCGCGTAGGGACTACAGACAGGAGGAGTGGAAGCCTCAGGAGTGGAAGAATAAGGGAGTCAAGAAGACCGAGACTCAGCGCTACTTCAAGGAGTTCCTGGCACAGAAGCGGGGCATTTGAGGAGTTTGAATGGCCCCCAAGAGAAGGCCAGCAGCAGCTGCGGATAGAAGGCGAGATCGCGGTGTTCGAGCCAGGCCAGCTGCAGTTGTTCCTCCTGAGGGTTTGGATTTCTCGAAGGGAGGCTTGATAGAGGGCCATCGGCTGACGGTGAGCGAACTCCCCGTGGGCACCAAGATCTTTGGACAAGCAGTTTATTGGGATCGAGAGGTAGAGCTTACAGGCGAGATTGTGGGCGTCTCCTTGGTGGCAGGGCAACTTGAGCTGAGGTTGCAGGCCGGAGGGACTTCGGACGAGGGTTTACTGAGGTGGCTCTCTGGTCAGGAAGATCGATGTCTCAGGTGCCACCTATGTGCGAGGGGGTGTTCGAACAGCCCCACGGCCGACGACTACATCCACCTGAAGCAGGCCAGGAGGCTAGAGGTCGACCCCCCGGCTTGGGGCGAGAACTTGAAGGAGGCGGCAGAAAGCGAAGCTTTGAGGAGGTTGGCCGAGGAGTCAGGAAGGAGAGAAAAAGAAGCTCGTGGAAAGGGGGTAGGCGCAGGACGCCCTCACGAGGGAGAGAAGGAGAAGAAGGAAGAGGAGGTCAGCAGTTCGAGTACGAGTTCATCCAAGAAGAGGAAGAAAGGCAAGAAGAAGAAAAAGAAAAAGAAGTCGAAGCGCTTCAGGGTACAAGGAAAAAAGGACCTCAAGAAGATCTTCGAGTTCACTGGCTTGGACCCCAGTCTCAAAGCGCGCAAGGGAGTCATGAGGCTGGCAAGAAGGGCCATGAGGAACAGAAGCAAAGAGGATTCGGAGAGCTCCTCGTGCAGCGGCACGGACGGGAGCAGCACAGAGGAGGCGGTGCAGCATCTGTTCGAGGAGACGCACAAGATCAGGAGGGCTGCAACGAGGGGGCCGGGGGCCTTGACGGCCTACACGGTATCGAGCATGTCCAAGTCACTGCTCACCCAGCAAGGGCTGCCGATAGAGGAGTCAGATGGAGCAGTGCCGTGCATAGCCCTGCAGTATCACAAGCAAGTGTTGTCCCAACGTTTGTCACCGCCTCTAGCGAGGGAGTCCCTGAACATCTGTGCAGCCACGGACGCAATACTTGGAGGACAAGTGGCACTGGGATTGGACATTCTGGTGCAACGCCTCAAGAGTATAGAGGCCCTGGGGGCTGGACAGAGTTGGGCGGCTTCACAGAAACTCGAACTTGCACCTCAAGAAGGATCTCAATTGGCAGCATTGGAGGAGAGCAGGACAGCAAACAGGGAGTTGCGCGAGGAGTTGAAAAACAGACAGGCTTCACAAAAGACGTGGCAGAAGGGCGAGAAGGGAGGCTCCAAAGGAAAACAGGAGGAGAGCAAAGGAAAGGGCAAGAGAGAGAAAGGAGGGAAGGAGAAAGGAAAGGGGGAAAGGGAGAAGGAGAAGTAACTTCTCCTCCCCCGATGCTCAGTGAACAAGAGATTGAGGAGGAGCTGGTGAGAGTGGCGCAGATGGCTTTCAAGAGAGAAGGGCTGGAGCAGAATGAGGCACACTATGACTTCACGAGGCTGCGAAAACCGGACGGGAGTGAGCAGAGATATAACCACTCCTCGGATGCCATTTTGGCAAGTACAGCGCCAGACGGAGATGCCGCTCCCGATGGCGAAACCACACCAAGTCCGCTCTCAGAGCGAAAAAAGAAGCTGGGTGCGGGAGGGTTTCGTTTCGTGGACATCGTGGGGGACTTGATCAGGGACCTGTCAGTTTCGTTTCGCAAGACCGTGACCTCGGGGGAGGTTTTCCCCCTCCCCTATGGCAGTTTTCTGGAGAGGCCCCCTTTTGATGATTTGGGTTCTGAGGCGAGAGAGGTTTTGAAAGGAATGATCGTTGGACTCAACAGTATTTATGATTGTCAACCCTCTGCTACTCAGCGTGTTTCACCATTGCATGTCCGTATTCTCAAAGGTTTGTGCAAAGAGGCCCAGAGTTTTGTCGAGAAGACCGGAAAATTTGACTGTTTGTCATGGAAAGATTTCTTGCGTGTCCGAAGCGTGGACTACAAGGGGGAAGAGGTCAAGACAGCGCAACGCACATCATGGAGTCATGTCAAACCCGCTTTACCACAAGAAGTAGGCACCGTGGATCTGGAACAGGTGGTCAGTGGCGGCTGTCTTCACTACGTGCAGAATTTTAGACAATATTTGGTTCCTGAGGCAGCCCAGGTTTATACCAAGCCACCCAAAGTCATGGTGTCCGATGACCAGTGGGAGAGCATGTGTGAGGGTCTCCTGTCTCGAGGCATTTGCGGGGTCATTGCAGAGAGCGAGCTCCATCACGTTCAAGGCCGCCCCTTGCTGAACGGATTGTTTGGGGTTGTGAAGGAGGAAACGGACAACGGGCAGGAGGTTCATCGCCTTATTATGAACCTGATCCCCCTCAACAAACTGTGCAAGGGGGTTGAGGGAGACGTCTCAACTCTCCCGGCATGGCCGAGTATGAACTCCTATTTCATCCAGCCCACTGAGGATCTCCTTATTAGCAGTGAAGATGTGCGGTGTTTCTTTTATTTATTCCGGGTTCCTCGTGAATGGCTCCCCTTCCTGGCCTTTTCAAAACTAGTACCACCCCGTCTTTGTCCTGATGAGCACGGCCGCTACTACCTTACCTCTTTAGTGCTGCCTATGGGGTTTTGCAATAGCGTGTCGCTGGCACAACACATACACAGGAACGTGGTGGGTAGTGCTTTAGCAGAGGCCAGGTTGGGAGGTCACAGAGGAGGCTGGGAGGCTGAGCTGAGGCGGGACAGGCCAATGACAAGCCAAAACCCTGCCCATCGCATCTACCTGGATAATTTTGACCAGTTGGAGCGAGTGGATTCTCAACTAGCTGACTCACTGAAAGGCACTGCGTCGTTTTTAGTGGGAGGTCTGAGGAAGGCCTACGAGGAGCTATGCATTCCACGTCACCCCAAAAAGGCCGTTGAGCGACAACACCAGGCTGAGGTCCAAGGGGCTCTTGTCGACGGGCAGGAGGGCACAGCCCGACCTCGACCGGAGAAGGTGCTGCGATATGTTCAACTCGCCCTGATGTTGCTTGAGGGAGGCTCATGCAGTCAGAAACAGATGCAAATCGTCGCAGGAGGACTAGTTTACATGGCCATGTTCAGGCGTCCACTCCTTGGCAGTTTGAACGCCTTATGGGAGTTTATTCAGAGCTTTGTGGCAAGTGAGAAGGCATTTCAAGTCATCCCTCAACCGGTCCGAAGGGAGATAGCTAGGTTCTGTCTCCTGGTCCCCCTGGCTCGAATGGACTTCCGACTTCCGTTCTCCAACCTGGTGACGGCGAGCGATGCTTCGACAAGTGGAGGTGGAATCACGGCTTCTTCACGGTTGAGCCCTTTAGCTTGTATGGCGGCAAACTGCAGTGTTCGAGGCGATGTTGTGGAGCCCAGTGACCTGACGCAGGTGTTGACGATCGGCTTATTTGATGGTTTGGGTGCCCTGCGAGTGGCGGCCGATGTCATTGGACTCCCAGTCGTAGGACATATTAGCATTGAGAAGCATCCACCTGCACGGAGGGTGGTTGAAAGTCGGTTTCCGCAGACGACCTTTGTGGAACAGGTGGAGATGGTGGACGAGGCCATGGTGCAAGACTGGGCATGTCGCTACACCCAAGTAGGGCTTGTCATCCTTGGAGCCGGACCCCCGTGCCAGGGAGTTTCGGGGTTAAATGCCGATAGGCGAGGCGCCCTCCGAGACCAGCGAAGCTGCTTGTTCCAGTACGTTGACTTCAGTCACCAGATGCTCAAAAAGGCTTTCCCTTGGGCGCAAGTCCATCGGTTGATGGAGTCAGTTGCGTCAATGGATGAAGAGGATCGGGCTTTGATGAGTGAGTCGGTAGGATGCACACCCTACATCGTTGACCCCGTGCACATCTGCGGAGCTCGTCGCCCTCGTTTATTTTGGCCGTCTTGGGAGTTGGTTGAAGGTCCTGGCGTGACCATCTCCTCGGCTCGTGGACAAGGGTGGACAGCATGCCAGACAGTGGAGTTGGTGCACTCGTTTGACAGCAAGGTCTTCTTGGAGCCCGGATGGGAGAAAGTCTCCTCGGAACCTTTCCCTACTTTCACCACGGCGAGACCGAGCTATACTCCAGGCAGGCGCCCTGCAGGAATACAGCAGTGCAGTTCGGACGTACTCCAAGACTGGGCCAGCGATTTGCATCGCTATCCTCCGTACCAATACTTGCACAAGTTCCGTGTTCAAGACAAGCACGGCACCACTAGGTTGTTGAACTGCGAGGAGAAGGAGGTGCTCATGGGTTTCCCTAAAGGGTACACCGTCCAATGTTGGCCAAAGCAGGAACAGCACACACAGGCTTGGCAAGATGAGCGCATGACACTAATTGGGAACAGCTGGAACGTGTTTGTGGTTGCATGGCTTTTGTCTCAGCTCTCCTGGGTTCTGGGGGTAGGCCCTAGACTGACCTTACGGGAAGTTGTTGAACAATGTCTACCAGGAGGAGGACGAACGCTACAGAGTTTCCTGTTGCGGCCCCATATGCGACCACCTCACACTGCCCCTGTTGATGACAATGATACATTGCTCGTCAAGAAGATTGCCGGGTTGACTAGCCTGAAGGGAGAAGACATTCTCCTGCAGACCCAAAGCGAAGATCCTGTTCGTTATCACCGTCTCCGCGCGAGCATCCCTGCCAATCTGTGGAAGTGGCGCACTATTTGCGGCTGGAAGTGGAGAGGTGCCAAGGAGCACATCAACGTCTTGGAGCTCCGTGCAGTCTTCACTACTCTACGTTGGCGTATTGGGAAGAAAGGGCTGCTGCACCAGCGCTACCTGCACCTGGTAGACTCCCTAGTATGTCTGCATAGCTTGGCTCGAGGACGATCCAGCAGCCGCAAACTCAGAAGAACTCTGCTTCGAATCAACGCGTTACTCCTAGCTTCCGGAACTCAAGGACTGTGGGCATATGTCCACACGTCGCAAAACCCGGCTGATGCTCCCAGCCGGTACCCAGTCCGCAAGCGATGGCGAAAGTGAAACGACCCATGCTTGAGGGAAGCTCAAGGGAGGAACGCAAGAAACAAAGAGCAGAGTTAGGTAGTTTGCAATCATTGACGGTGCAACCACGGACGCGAGCTCGTTATGACAAAGCTTTGGAAGGCTTCTGGAGTTTTCTCCGAGAAGAAGGTAGAACCATTCCTTACAACCACGCCGAGCTCGATGTGCTTGTCCAGCACTACATCGAACATTTGTGGTCCGAAGGATTCGGTCGTGCACAAGCTAGCGACACTGTTGCGGCTCTTCAAGACGTTCAGCCTCAGGTGAAGGGACATCTACGAGGCACTTGGAGGTTGCTCAAAGCTTGGAGCATGAATGAGGTGCCCAACCGGGCACCGCCCCTTCCTGAAGAAGCACTTCACATGATGGTCGGGTACTCCTTTTTCAAAGAACAGTACAAATTTGGGCTGTCCCTCCTCGTGGGGTTCTATGGGACCTTGCGGACGGGAGAGATCCTCGGACTCTGTTCATCTGATGTCAGCCTGACCAGCGTGAGTGGGCCAGCTGTGATTTCATTAGGACTGACCAAAGCTGGAAAGCGCCAAGGCGCTTCAGAGAGTGTCACCATGACAGTTGAAGAGCCTCTCCGTTGGCTTCATGCCTGGATAAGAGACTGTCCAGAGCGGGACCCCTTATGCCCATCGCCTTCCAAGTGGCGACAACTGTTTAATGAAGTGTTGCGCGCAACAGGTTTAGAGACCTTAGGCTTCCGACCGTATTCGCTCCGACGAGGGGGAGCGACCTTTTTCTTTCAAAAATGGGGTGTTCTAGATAGACTTCTAATTTACGGTAGGTGGCAGGCTGCAAAAACGGCACGCACCTACGTGAATAGTGGTTTAGCTGCACTGGCGGAGATGAACCTGCCTCGCACTCCTGCAAACAAACAGTTTAGGGCCATCTTTCTGAATTCAAAGAAACATCCTTTGCCGTCGCTTGGCCATACCCCGAGAGGGGGTAGGGCAGGGGGCAGTGGAAAGAGCTCCAGAAAGAGCTCGAAACACTCAACAAAGAGAACTAA